ACTAAGCAAAGATGAAAGCATGCTAAAACGTCTAGTTCTATCTAGGCTTGTGTCCTACAGTCAGCATTGCTCTGATACCACTTTGTAGCACCTGATTTTAAGAACAAAACTAGTTACACACTATATGTGAGCCCAGAAAGTCAAATCTCACATATAGCTACAAATAAGGGTAATATCGAAAGACAATGCTCAAAATATAACATATTTAGTTTTAAGGATATAACCTTAGACAGTAAACAATGGAAAGACAACTCTGATTTTCGGGTGAAGACTCCAATTCCACAGGGACAACTGACTAGTTGATCACAAGCCTAATTCCTCCAAACTCTAGCAATCTGGTACCCATCCGGGATTTTTTTCCAAAGATGTAAAAAGTAAAGCAAGCATAAGTACAAGTCATACTCAACAAATATAACATGGGGTTCATGAGACTCAAAAAGCTGACACTGGTTAACTACGATTAACTTTTAATGAGTCATCTTTTAGCAATTGGGTGGCAACAAATTTATTCACAAGCTCATATCAACACATGATCAGGTAAACATGAATAATGAATAGCATAAACAATTAATCGTTAATGAGCATCGTTATCATCAGTATCATTAGTGTTCATCATCTATTTCGTAAGGGTCCAAGGCTACTCGTGACCATGAGCACGGCTGATATACCAGTTTTACACTATGCAGAGGTTCTACACTTTCACTATGAGTCGTGATTTACCCTTTCGCCCGAGGTAGCTAATCTCTTGACCCACTTCCAAGGAAGGTCGACAGGGTTCACTATGAAGCCTTTCAAAGGTTCGTCTAACAAGTTAGGGCCATTAGATTCACTCGGCAAACAGATGTAGGAACCCCCCTTCCCGATGGCACAATGACACACATCCTATACACAAGGGGACAGAGGTTGTCCTATACCCGATTCGGCAAGCCATTCTTACGCCAATAAAGGTAACCTCTAACAAGCTAGAAAAGGTTCTCATACTGAGCTAAAGCCAGAGCCATGTAGCCCTCACAGCTGTACTGTAAGTCCCGGATGTTCGCTTACAGATAAGTCCTTAGGGAGAAGAATCTAGAGCGCCATAAAATTAGCCCAATGCTCTAGCCCCCTTGTTCCATGTTGCTAAAAAGCATCTTTTAATGTTTATTGCATATACCATTAGTCAAGTTACAAGATCATGGCTTTAGTTTGAGCACTAGCATCACACTACCCAATGCAATAACCCGTAGGTGGTAAGGATTCCAGGATATCAAATAGCTAGGTAAATTACTATGGTTATCAAGGTAGACATGCAGTATGAACCAAATGATTAAAGATGTATAGGACAACAAGGAAGATCCCATGCTATACTTGCCTTAAAAATAGATCAGATCTTCTTCTGGTCCTTAACCTCCAAAGGATTACTTCTTGATCACCAGCTCACCGACTGGACATGATCATAGAACACCACCCAAGCATTCATGCAATCATACATGAAGCAAACAATGGAGCTAAATTAGAACAATACATGATTCAGTGGAAAAGAATTTAAAAAACAAATCTACGTATTGCTACGAGCACATAGACGCGAAAAGCACACTAATCGGAGCTACGGTTCAAAAGATATAACTATTGAAAGATTTTGCTTCTAAAATGGAAAACCATAAGCTTCATTTATTTTATGATATAAAACATGTATAAGATATTTTAGAGAAATACCTAAGTTGAATTAAGTCAACATTATATTTGGTTTTGAAAACCAAAGTGGAATTTATCATATTTTTTTATTTATAAGTCCAATTGCATAGTTGTTAATCAAGTTAGGATTTAAACCATGATATTCCAGAGCTCTTGACATGGAAAACATTGATACTAATGCATAGTTTACATCGTCACGAATCCAACACATCTTGAATGGATCGAATCGGAGCTAAAACAAATAAGTTACGATTTAAACACGATTTCATTTAGTAAAATAATAGATTAAATCTTATCACGAATTTTAAAAGTTGAAACATACTTAATAGTAGTATAAACATGTAGATTACACTTACAAATCTAACGCAACTTGAACAGGTCAAATCAGAGCTAAAACGGATGAGATATGGCCTACAGAAGGTAGTGGCAATTTTGTAAACAGATGGAATTTGATTTTTTCCAAATTTAAATAAATAAAATCAGATTTTGAAACAGGCCAAGGACTGCGGGCATGAATAGAAAGAAATGACAGGGGCTCTTTAGAATAAAATCAGGGATAGCGGGTTAGAATCTTAAAAATTATAGGGGCTCTTTAGCAAAAGAGATAGACGAAGGGGTACGGGGAATCTTGGGCCGTTGGATCTATAGTGGATGGCTCAGATTAGAAGCAGGGAGTGAGAGAGGGGATCGCTTGTCGGAATAGTGACCTTGATGGCGGTTTCACGGCCGACCCTCGTTGGAGTTCACCAAAACGACGATTCGAGGCTTGATTGCATCAACGGGTAGCGTGGGGAGATAGATATCGAGCTTGCGAACTCGATGTGGGGTATTGGTTGAAACAGGGGATGAACGGATATGGCGGCATGCGCTACCTTGTGGCTCAGCTTTGTTTGGCGACGGCACACGGACAGAGAAGGAGGAAGAGAGAGCCAAAGCGGGGCACAGGGGACTTCCTTACCAAGCTTGGCCATGGTGGAATCGCATGCGGAGGTGGCAAGGTAGGGTTGCGGCGTGGCTAGGGCTCGAGCAGAGGTGACTGCGGCTCGATTCTAGGGTTTGTCGAGGGTGGCATGGCGCAGGCTCGGTATTTATGAGGTCGGCGATGGCGTGAAGGCTACGCCAAGGAGGAGTCGGGGGCACGGCGGACACGGCAACGTAGAGTTTGTATCGGCTGCGAGAGGTAGGGGATGGTGCCGACAGGTGGGTCCGGCATGTCCGCGAGAGAGAGGAAGCGGGTCTAGGATGACATAGAGAGGGAGCAAGGGGCGCGGGCACGCTGCCGTCGGCTGCGGGCTAGCTTGGGCCTCGGCCGAGACAAAGCAGGGGGAGCACTTGGGCCGGCTCAGCCCACGCGGGGAGTGAGGGGAAGGAGGGGAGAGCAGGCCGACTTTGGGAAGGGTCTGAGGGGGAAGGAGAGAGGCCGGGCTGGAGCAGGCCGTGGGCCAAAAGGGGAGAGGGTTTACTCTTTTGTTTTTCCAAATTGTTTTTCCTAATACTTTTTCAAATATGTTTTGAATTCATTTGAACCTTGAACCAAAACCAAATTCAAATATTATTTCGGATATACTTTTCAATCCAAATCAAAATGGACAATTTTGGTAGGCTTTCAAAAATAAACTTTTACAACCTTTTAAATTCTTTTATTTTCCCTTTTTCTTTTCTTTTGTTTCGAAGCCATTTTCAAATTCATTTTCAAAGGCAATTCAAACCATTTTGAATTTTAATCAAAATCACTCAACCAAATAAATCAAATGTACCAGCATGTATGCTCAACCATGTTGCTACACCCTATGATGAGTTTTAATATGATGAAAAATATTGTTTTTTCTATATTTCATGAGTACAAAATGCAATAATTAAATCTTTTCACCCTATTTCAAAAAAGCAATTTTTTAGGGTGTAACACAAACTTTGCTAATTCATGAGCAACCGAGTTACAAGCTGTAGGGACAGAAAAAATATCATTACAATCAAAGTGTTCCCAACTTATATATGTAGATAAATAGTATACTTGTAGCCACTATATATATGTATTTTATATAAAAGGGAAATTCTTTTCTACTACCAGGGAGTAGTTACTCCCATGTGTATATCTCTAGATTTAGGAAGTATATGGCTTGACGAAGTGTATGGAGACGGAGTATATCATTATACTACACAATCTATTGTACTATGTATGTCAAGTATGCAAGTATACTTAGAGTATATGGTTATACTAATTTTATATACTACTGTCATAGTATTAAATAATATATTAAAAAATATGGGCTCTTTTGAAAAATTTTCACGTAGTAAAGATCTGGAGGATCTTAATATGAGTATATCAACATACTCAAACTGATAAACAAGTATGTACATATACATAGTGTGATTTATTGATCATGGGAGTAACTACTCCCGGGAGTATAAAAAATGCACCCTTACATAAAAATAATACCGAACGTATAATTATTGATTAAGACAATCCAACATTACAAGCGCTGGAGAAAGGGCACTGTAGGAGTAAGGTTTGTATGCGTGCGTTCAAAGGGTGAGTGTACGTGCATTGTAAGTGTCTGATTTGTACTGCGTAATCAGGAAAAAAAAAAGTTGCAAACTGCTAGCAGCGTACGCTACTAAAATAATCCTCCACATTGAATCGAAGCTAGTGCTTCAGCGTACTTTTGCTGCGCCGTTGCATTGCACATGGCCCGTCGCTAGCTGTCACATTCTAGGCCCGGCAGCGACACGTTTTTCTGGAGATGGGGAGGCGACTGACCCGAACGATTGTGATGCGAAGAAATTACTCTACTAGCTCAAATATAAATATATAATTGATCTCTGCAGCCAATAGGTGGAAACCAGCTAGAGGCTTATCGATCTAGATGGATATCCTGCACCACATGACTCACCAAGTCAACGTAATTCACTTGGTCAGTGCAAAACACCGTGTTACTATGTGGACGACGACGACGACTAAACTTACGTGGGCACCACAAATAAGCAGGCTGTAGACGCGTCTGTAGCAAGCCTGCACGCACTGAGGGGAAACAAATTTGGATGTATGGAGATATTATTACTCCTAATCATTCATCTCTGGAACTGAATCTCGTTCTTCCTTCCTACAGTACTCTTCTTTCTCCACAAGCCTTCTTCTACCTCCGGCCTCTCACAGACAAGCAATCAACTTTTCATCTTTGTCCTTGGCTTTGTGCTACTTTCACTGAATAAACAGTGCATCATGGGCTATTTATAGTGAAGACATGAGTAGTGCTTCCGCCATAGCCAAACAAATCAAAGAGCCATTTGTTTACTTCCATTCCATGCATATGTGCATGCTCGCACGCATGAAGAAGGTAGCAAGTGAAAAAGCTGTACTATTAGCACCGCTTGCTGCTGTAGTCGCGACGCTGCTGATGCTCCCACCGTTTGCTGGCTGCGCGGCACCAGCTGCAACTGCAAATGCTAGTACTAGTCTGGGTAGTAACAACTGCACCAGGAGCTGCGGCAACATCAGCATCCCTTACCCGTTCGGCATCGAGCCAGGCTGCTACCACGCGGCCGGCTTCAACCTCACCTGCAAGCAGCACAACCACCATCAGCCAACCAAGTTGTTCCTCGGCGACGGAACCGTGCAGGTGCTGGAGATCTCTCTCGAAAACAGCACGGTGCGCATCAACGGCCCCATCCTGCAGTTTCAGTATGATGGCAGTGGCCTCACCACGAACACCACATGGGGGCTCGGGCTCCCACGGGACAGCCCCTACTTCCTCAGTTACGAATTCAACGTGGACATGCTTTTTGTGCCAGGGGCATCTCATATTATTCCTAAAGCGCTGCCGGCCACACTAGACTGGATAATTAGTAATTCATCATGTCCAAGAAATAAGACCACCGCCCCGGAGTGTCTCAGTACCCACAGCTATTGCCAAAAGTTTCCTTCCTTGGGCCATGCCGCTGGTGGGTACCTGTGTAAATGCGATGATGGTTATCAGGGCAATCCTTATGATCAGGGTGGATGCCAAGGTACACTACGTAGTGAATCAATCCTTTTTAATTACATTCCTCAGCCTGAATCTGCATACATTCTTTGGTGCTCCTAACACATACCTTCTTTTTTTTGCTACAGATATCGACGAGTGCCAATATCCGGAGCAATATGTTTGCTATGGTGTTTGCAAGAATACACCTGGAAGTTATATTTGCCAATGCAACACTGGCTATACAGGCAATGCTTCCGTCCCAAATGGATGCACAGGTATTTTTTTTAAGAAAGGCGGCAAGAGCTCTGTTGTATTTTTATTAGACGAGGTGGATTGGATCCACAAGTATAACAAGATGGAAATCCTGAATACATTTGGTTATAACTTACGACTATTTGCTCTAGTGTTATTACAAGGCTCGCTATATACATATTGGACACTATAACAAGACCTTAAAACAAAATCCATCTGCTCTAAATTTCCTAGACATTGACGAGTGCAAGCACAAGGAAGCATACTCGTGCTATGGGGTATGCGAAAATTTCAGGGGAAGTTTTCACTGCCAATGTCCTGAAGGAAGCTCTGGAGATTATTCCATAAAAGGGGGATGTAGAACAATATCATCCACATCCACAGGTAACAAGCTGTAAATGCACCGCCTATTATTGTACTGTAAATTCTTTCTTCATGAATATGAACAAGCAAATTATATATATTTTAGGTTTAATCGTCGGACTAGGAGTTGGTGGTGCCACAAGTCTTTTGATTCTTACACTCGCTAGCCCTTTTGTAGTGCATAAGATCAAGATACAAAAAATGAAAGATAAATGTTTCAAACAAAATAATGGTTTATTGTTGCAGCAATTGATATCACGAAACGCAAATATCAGTGAGAGGATGATTATTACCTTGAGGGACATAGAGAAAGCTACACACAATTTTGATAGAGATCATGTGATTGGTGGGGGAGGGCATGGAGTAGTGTTTAAAGGAATTCTGGATCAACATATTGTGGCAATCAAGAAATCAAAGATTGTGGTACAAAGGGAAATAGATGAATTCATAAATGAAGTTGTGGTTCTTTCTCAAGTGAACCACAGAAATGTGGTTAAGCTCTTAGGATGTTGTCTTGAGACAGAAGTTCCACTCCTAATTTATGAGTTCATTTCAAATGGAACCCTTTATCATCATCTTCATGTTGAGGAAGCAATATCATTAACATGGGCGGACCGATTAAGAATTGCACTTGAAGTTTCTAGAGCACTGTCCTACCTACATTCATCTGCTTCAATGCCAATATTTCATAGAGATATTAAAACCTCCAACATACTTCTTGATGACGGTTTAGTTGCAAAGGTATCGGACTTTGGTGCTTCAAGGTACATCACAATTGATCAAACCGGAGTGACTACAGCCATTCAAGGAACAATTGGTTACTTAGACCCCATGTATTACAGTACGGGTCGGCTAACCGACAAGAGTGATGTTTTTAGTTTTGGTGTTGTTCTTATAGAATTGCTCACTAGAAAGAAACCTTTTCTCTACCGCTCTGACAATGGTGATGGCATTGTTTCACATTTTGCCTCACAACTTATAGAAGACAAACTTGTTGAAATAATAGATCCTCAAATCATTGAGGAAGAAGATGGAGAGATCATAGAAGTAGCCACACTTGCAACATTATGTACCAAATTAAAGGGAGAAGATCGGCCTACAATGAGAGAAGTGGAGATGACACTTGAGAATTTACTTTTTAAGAAGAAGCATCCCCCTTGTAATACATCATCAAGGAGATATGGTCAGAATAAAAATAGCTACAAACCAATGACTGAGCAGATTACCAATGAAGCAAGCAGACAATACACTATGGAAGAGGAAATCTTGTTGTCGGCGACATATGCCAGGTGATACTACGCAGTTCAAAGTTAGGATGCTTCATATATACAGAAATTCAAATGAATAGGAAGCCATTGAAAAATGTCACTTCCTTTGTTATCCTGTAAATTATAGTCCCAAACTCTTTGTCAATAAATTTGTTTGAATGCTGAGTTTGTATAGTTCCATGAATGACATCTACCAAGCTGATGGTGGTTCTACTAAATATTTGTCAATGTAATGTGAAATGTCCTCCCAAATTTTTATGGTTGTTCTATCAAGCTGATGGTTCTTCTCCTAAATTTTTTATTGGGCCACCACAGGCCACACTTTACTAAGGCGGGCGACTTAAAAGTTTGACTCCGAGCCCTTTTAAGATGTCCATATTTATTAATTAATTTTTAGAGACATTTGCCTATTAGGCTAGTTGTCTCTGTAAATTGATCCAACACCTCTAAGAATTGATGACTGCTTAGGATATGTAGACAGTTTTTACCCACCTGTGTAAATAAAACGAGGTGTCGACTAAAATTATTTTTTAATAGTTTTCGGTAAATCTAATTATTGACACTTTCGTACGTGAAGATTAGCGCACAGCTTACCACTGTAAGATCTAGTTTCTAACAAAAATAATGTCAATAGTTCATTGGAGGTCTAAAGTAACATATATACTACACGTAAATCCAAGCCAAAGTCATCACCCGGGTCGTGTATGAGACTATATGAGGCCACAAAGCTGGTGGTTTCGGGCCTAAACACACCTTTTTTAGATAATGGAACAAAATTCTAGCCTCTACCATCCGGAGATAGTACACAGCCGGGGCCTAAACACACCTTTAGCGCTACGACTGAATCATGATCTTAATTGCTAAAACAGAGAATGGACGCTTCATATTTGTTTGGGTGTACAATATAATAATCTGTCCTAGTTGCAAGGTTCACTATCGGAATCGAAGGCTTTGCCGAGTGTCATATTCTTTGCCGAGTGTATTTTATCGGACACTCGGCAAACCCTCTCTTTGCCGAGTGCCAAACTAAAAACACTCGGCAAACTCTCTGGTTGCCGAGTGCCTTACTAGAAAACAATCGGCAAACATTCTGACACTCAGTAATTAATTCTACTGAAAAACACTCGGCAAACTCCAGACACTCGGCAAATATGCGAAAAAACACTTGGCAAATTATGGCTCGGCAAACATCGCGCCACGTGTCCCTCCATGAAAAGAGAAAAATAAAAAAAAAATAAAAAAAATCCTTTGCCGAGTGTCAGATCTAGGACACTCGACAAACACTGCTTTGTCGAGTGTCAGATCAAGGACACTCGGCAAAGCTCCTATACTATATAACTCATGGTGACCGTCTTTGGGAGCGCCGGCCCGCTACGCTTCATCGTGCTCCCCTCTCCCTGCCCCCGCTCCCCTCTCCCAGCTTCCTCCGCGCCCCTCCCCTCCTCCCGTCGGCGCCACCCCCTCCTTCCCCGGCCGCCGCCCCCTCCCCTCCTCCCTTTCCGGCGCCGGTGTGCCCCTCCCCTCCCTCCCCTCCTCCCTCTCCGGCGCCGGTGTGGCCCCGCCCTCCCCTCCCTCTCCGCCGCCTGGGATCCCGATGCCTGCGCCGCCCCTGCCCCAAGAGGGCTCCCCCATGGTCTTGCCGCCGGAAGACACCGCGTCGAGGTGGATCTCCGACGCCCGAGCCGCCACTGTCGTCCTGAGGAAGCTTCCCCATGCCTGCACTGCTGGCCGAGGCCGCCCCGAGGTGGATCCGCCAAGCCAGCGCCACCGGCAGCCGCCGCCATGAGGGGATCTCCGTCGGCGGCGCCGCCGGTTGCCGCCGCCCTGAGGTTGCTTCTCCACATCTGCGTCGCCGGCCGCCCCGGCCCCGAGGGGATCCCCGCGACCGCGCCCTCACCACCCCGAAGGGGCTCCCGACGCCCTCGCCTCCCTCGCCCCCAGGTCTCCCCGATGCCCGTGTGGCCGCCTGGTCCTCTCCCGATCTGGATAAGGTGTCCTGTTTCTCTCTCCCAATCTCCTTCTCATATCTGGACTGATGTTTCTTTCCGAGTAATCAGAAACATATTCTTCTAACTTGTGATTCAGCAATAGGTGTCGATGTTCTGACCTCCAGGGAAGAAGCAAGCAAGCTTGATGCTTCAAGTACTAGGTATAAAAAGACATTTTCCTCATTTCCTGTAATTAGCTCTTGTGTTGATGGTTTTATGCTGCCTTCGATTTGGGTATTCAGTGGAGTAATGACGTTATTTTTTAACACAATCTCATCTTAGTATCTGAGTACTATGTCTTCGTGTCTGTTGAATTTTGGGTCATACCGGGGACTGAGATTGTACCAGACTAAACATGCTTTGAATTTTCTAGAGTTCTCTACAATGATGTACACCAACTGAAACTTCTGAACTGGAGTATTTTAATTTCCCTTTCAGCCTTGTGTATAGTTAGGTGTTTGCTTGTCTTCTTGGTATTGGCATTTTATACAGATGATTTTCTGAGGCATTTTGTGTTTAACAGGCAGCCCATCCGTGAAGATATAATTAGTATTTATGCATTTAACAGTGGAATAGTTCAAATACGATACTACAAATTTTAGTTATTCTTTCTATTTACTATTCTGTGCAGCTTATCTTTTTACTATTGTCTGTGTACATGTACTGAACACCTTCCATACTGAACATACGTAACCTGTAAATTTCTATCATCTAGCTTGTGTTTGGTTGAATTAGATTTTAGTTGATACATGTACTAAAATGCTGCATACTTATAGTTCTAGAATTTTATCACGTTTCTTCAAATACATTGTGATAAGTGTGTTCAAATGCTCTAGTGCAAAGATTGATATACATAGCTGTGGAAGCATATTTTGATACAGAAACTGATTGCTAGAATACGTCCTCTCTGATTGCCCTTCCTTTACTAAAAATTGGCACATCTCATATGCAGATATTGTTCATGCAATCTGAAATTTAGAGCTGTAGTGATGTTCCATGCAGATAGTGTTCATATCCAGATACAGATAGTGTTCATGCAATCTCATATTTAATTGTACTTTAGCGATGTTTTATATTACTTAGGGCTGTTCATGGTCTTTAGAGAATCAAGTTAATTTTAAGTGATAAGCATTTCTTTAGCATTTTGATGTAAACTCAAGATAAACTCCTACAAAGCATCTGTTTGTCTACATTTCTTGTAATTACCGACATACAGTACTATGTTCACATTTCTTCCTTCTTGCAGTGAAGAAACTAGTTTCATGAAGAATGGAGTAGAAGACATGTCTACTGGGGTGCTGATGGTTTTACCTTCACTATTTTGGTAGCATAGTTTTTGAATTTTTTCTGGATGTTGATTCTTGTGAACTTATACCTGTCATTAGTCTCTTAAATTTGTCATCTTCATTTCTATGTCCATGTGGTTATTATGAGAATTATGTTGCCAGGAGCATGATGTGCATGCAGATATGGTGTACTAAGAGTGTTTTGTATGGCAGCTATTAAACTGAAATATGCTGAGAAAAAAAATATTTTTTCTTTGGAAAATAGGTTCGCCGAGTGTAATTCCCAAAAATACTCGGCAAACAGTAATGGTATGCTGAGAAAAAAATTATTTTTTTCTTTGGAAAATAGGTTTGCCAAGTGTAATTTCTAAAAACACTCGGCAAACAATAATCCTTTGCCGAGTGTATTTTAAAAAAACACTCGGCAAACCATTTTTTTTGTCGAGTGTCAAATTTGACACTCGGCAAACCATTTGCCGAGTGCGCGATAAAAAACACTCGGCAAATAGCTGTCGTGTGCAGTTTGCCGAGTGTTACACTCGGTAAAGCCTTTGCCGAGTGTTTTTTGGTCTTTGCTGAGTGCCTGTGGTACATGGCAAAGTCATTGTTTCCGGTAGTGGTTAAGGCCTTATTGTCTAAGTAACTAGCCAGTAGCTGCCGTATAATAAATTTATGTAATTAGTTTATTCTTGTCGCCCGATTTTGAATTCTATCAAATTTGTTGATGCTATATATATATATATATCTTTGAACCTATTGCAATTTCGTTGTACCGTCAGCCTTTGTGTACGTAGTTTAATTTTCTGAAAGGTTCAAACTGACTGAGCTGTTAAAAAATTCCAATGCGAAAGCAAAAATGAATGAAAAATCATAGGTTAATTATACTTCTGTTTTCATTTGTCTTATAATTAGATTATTTCAGCTTCGTAGCACTTATAGAGAATATTTGTAGGAATAGTTAGAATAAACTAGTAGGAAAACTTCTAGAGATATGGTTGCCAAACACTCCCGTCGAAATCATTTTTCAGGAATTATAAGACCGATGTAAATATGGTAATCGTCTTTCACAAGTTGTGCAATTTTTCCATTCACGTGCGTCTCCCAAAATTTGCTTCTTCAACTATTCTTTGTTTGGTACTACAAGCACTGTCTCAAATCATTACACTTTGTATCTACCCAAATGAAAACCTTTTGTACTTGGGATCAGCCAACTTCTCCCTAATTTCGGCTAAATCTTCACCAACTCGTTGCCCTTCCTTGATTTCCCTTAGCAAGTGAGATATCACTTGAAGCATTGCTAAGGAACTTTGCTAGACTAGAGGCAAATCCAACTTCTACATTTCCTTGCACAAGGAATCTTCATATCGGGCCACCCTGCAATCACAACTTGATTTGCAACTCAAGGTGTTGGCTACTCCGTTAGCCTTACACGGGTGGTATTGGATGTTCAAGTCATAATCTTTGATTAAATCTAGCCATCTTCTTTGGCTCATAATATTACTCAGCTCGGTTTGGTTTAAAAGTACTTCAACTTCTTGTGGTCAATGAAGATGTTGCAATGTTTTTCAAAAAAGATAATGCATCCAAATATTCAATGCATGCACCACAACAACTAATTCCAAATGGTAAGTTGGATAATTCTCTTCATTGGACTTTAGTTGTCTAGATGCATAGGCTATAACAAGGCCATCTTGCATTAACACATATGACCAAAATATGGTAACTTATATATGTAGTTTTTTTTAATAGAA